GGAGGCCCATTTTTATGTATTTTTTAAATAAAAAATATATAAAACATTAAATTAGATAAATATTTATACTTATTAATGTTTGCAGTTGTTTTTAAAAATATGCATATATTTAAAATAATTTAGATCAAATCATCTATATGTGACAAACTGCAGACAATGTTCCCTATTATGACTTTTGCACATTTTAAAACCCTAAAATGTTGTGTTCCTTCCACTGAAAATGCACACGGCTCCTGGAGTTCCCTCACTGTCTGATCTGCTGCATTGTTGAYAGGAAATAATTTATATTGTCAGTGTCAGTTGATCATTGATTTCCTAATTACACGCTTTTCCCTGAGGCTTAGACAACTGATATACTGTACAAGGCCATCACTGGAGGGGGAGTCTGTCAGTTTCTTATCCATGACTTATGGCTAACTTGACTCTCTCGGATGGCTCCCTTTTCTCTGCCAATGGCTTTTCAACACAACAAACACTCAAACACAAGTATCATCTTTCTCCCGGGAGAATAGTACGCACAGAGAGCGGCTCAGAATGTGGTGGCAGGGAGTTGAAACGTTTTCATTGCTGACAACCGAGGGTAATAAAACACCCGCTGCTGCGTGTTGCAACAAACCATTTTTGTGCTTTGAGGCGGTCATGGTCTTCTGAAACATGATGGTGTGTTGTGTTGCACCAACAAATTCAGCAAACCTTTAAGAAATTGACAAGTTTAATATGTGAAAGTGAAAATGCCAAAGCGATGCAGAATTATTTACTGGCTTTTGAACACAAACTGTATTTCAGGACTACAATTTGGTCTGGACAGTCATTTGAAAACTGGCACATCATAAATTTTTAGGATCTGTTTTTTACTGCACACTCCAAAGTGACAGAATTTGATTTGTTTAGGCCTGTGTTTATTTGTCAGTTTGGCCTATRGTAGGATAATTTGAGCCCTTCAGTTCACACTGATCGTTTACCYCTGCAATAAAACTTTAAATACATTTTAAGAAGGACTTTGTCTTTACTTCTCAACCATAGACAGTAGCATTCAGCTTAATAAAAGAATTTTCACTCAAAAATAATAATAATGTCAGAGAATACAAACAGATAATACACAACAAGGCAGAAAATGTTACATGAAAAGCCCAAAACTGAACCAATATATTCCTTTAACACTGTGTGTGTTGATGTGACAGATAACTTACCTCTGATTACATCTTCACTCCTTTGGTTTACACTGAACATGTTATTCTGGCACCACTTGCTGCCAGGTGCTGAGGGTATTGTTTATATCACACATCAACTTCGAAACATTCCATTGTTGAGATTTACGAGGATTGCTTGCTTTGTTTTTGGTACAGTCAAAGAAGAAGAAATCTAATCTTTTTAACTTATCTGAGCTTTTTGCCTGTTCACCTACATGAACAGGATCACACAATACCTGCATAGGAACGCTGCACACCAGAGATAACAGCCGCGATAGGAGAGAAACATACTGATTTTTGGCAGCATTAAATCAGTCATGGATATTCACTTTATTCTGAGTGCCATTTGGAAACTCTTAAAAAAAAGGGTTTCAGGGCATTCATCCAGCTTACATAGCAGCAGCCCCAGAGAGGAAACAATGAGACCCAGACAGGCTTAGTACTCCAGAAGCCATTCCTCTCTCAATGGGAACATGTCTTGGACGGACACTCCAGTAGTTTTGTCTTGTATGTTGCTATCTGTGCTAGCTGCAGAGTAGAGAGGGTTTGTGCCAGGCAAGGGTCCACAGGGACCGTTGGAATAGCTGGGGCTGGAGGAAGTTGGTCTGGGTCCAGTGGGGCGATCTGAGCTTGGTGACAAGCCAAGCTGTCTACAGCAGGGACGCTGGGAAAATGTAAATAAGAGCCTGATAAGGCCTATTGTTTTCATTCCATTCTCATCCCAGCTGAATGACCTGCTCCCCAGCCTGAGAGCATTTTATCTCAAGAGAGGGAGGGAAAAAAATGGAAGGGGTGGGGGTGCAAGAGATTTAATAGCCCCTATAGGAAAATAAAAATAAACTCACTGGACTCTTCTGTTGTTGAAGCTAATTCCCCAGAATGTGATGTCCTACTTTGAAAGGACAACAGCAGCGAACTTGACACAAAAACTTTAGAAATGTAGCTGTAAATGTCCACACTTCCTTCTCCTTCCAACTTCCCCACAATCAGGAGTCAAGTGGGATTATTTTATCACAAATTATATGTTATGGTATGTCAAATACAATGGGTATCCATTTTCAACAATCTCTTCAATAAACTGACAGTTTGATACTGAACAGTATTTCTACTGGCATTTTCACTGTCTCCTGAGGAAAGAGTTGTGCATTTAAAAAAATGAAACAGCATTCTTTCTATTAATCTAAATTCTTGAAGAAAAAATAGGCTGTGAAAGGGGGCTTTGAAAAAAGCCAGAGATGATTTTCTCAGACACACACACACACACACACACACACACACACACACACACACACACAC